CAGCTGAGCGGAGGCTTCAGCTGGGCTCCAGGAGCTTTGGGTGTGAGTTTTTCCTCTTTCTCTGGTGGTGAACCTGTGGACTGAGCCCATGAGTGAGCTGCGTTACAACAAAGATGGAGTGCCCATCTATGACGGAGCTCCCGAGTTGTTTGTCGCTTACCAGCGAGCCGCGTTGATTTACTCTGAAACCATAGAATGGAAGAAGAGGAGTTTGGTGGGGCCACGATTGCAGGCAGCACTGGAGGGCAGCGCCAGGCTAGCTGTCGAGCATATGACACCAGGTTGGATCTCGCATGACCAAGGTGCTTCACAGCTTTTGGAGTATCTGAAACGGCAGGTTCGAGCGCCAACCCTGGCAGAAGCTGGCCGCACTATGTCTCGATTCTTCTATGGGATTAAGAGGCGTCGTGGTGAAGGAATGGCGGCATGGATTGTGAGGCACGATGAAGCCTTACTGGAGGCCAAGAGGACTCTTGCAGAGGCCATACACGAGTATGGCCCTGGGATGCAGGAGACTCCCCCGGGACCGCCAGCCTGGAGGCCACAAGGGCAGTCAGTACCTCGAACCTCTGATGCAGAAAGTTCCATGCCAAGTGGGCCTGAAGGAGAGGCCACTCCCAATGACACCTCCGGCATACCCTCAGGAAATGCCACCACCACCGAGGAGGCGGAGCCGCATGAGTGGGATGAGCAGTGGGAGCGATCATCTACTCAGTCGTGGTTTGGTCGACGGTGGTACTCAGGTTCCTGGGACCAATGGGGATGGGGTCAGTATGGATCTCATTCTTCATGGGGTTATCCCTCTGGAGGTAGCCACAAGTCATGGGATGCATCAGAGGCAGCATCCGCTCAGGCAGAAAAGTTTCTTCCTGACTTTGTGATTGCATGGCTTCTGCTCCAACGTTCAGGTCTAGATGCAACAGAAAAGAGCGTGATTGTGGCCAATCTGAAGAATGATTTTTCGACAGTCAAGGTGAAGGCCGCGCTCAAACTGACTTGGCCTGACGACGAACTGAAGAGGCGTGATGCGAACAAGAACGCCGCGATGTTCACTGTAGATGAAGCTGTTATGTTAGCAGATGATGAGGAGACTGCCAGTCCTGATGTCCTGGAATGGGATGATCCGGAGGATGGGTACGCATACCAGGCCTTGGAGGATGATGCCCAGGAAGCCCTGGCGGCATTGCAGGACTCCCGCAGGACCCTGCGTGAGGCAAGGGAGAAGCAAGCACAGATGCGTCGCAACAGAAGCTTTTATCCTGCAAAAGGAGCTGGAAAGGGCCGTGGTGATCGGCCACCTCTCAAGTGTTTCCGGTGTGGTGGCCCGCACCTTCGCAAGGATTGCCCAGAATCTGGAACGACAAGCAATCAAGGACAACATGTAAATTTGGTGTTCACTGCAACTGAGATGGGTTTGGAAGCTGTGGAGCCAGAATGGCCGTCTGAAGGAAGTTTTGTCGCTCTAGAGCAGATTGTGCGCGAAGGAAAAGCTATCATAGATGGTGGAGCCACCAGCAGTCTTGGCTCCGAGGAGGCACTGCAGACAATTGCTCAGCTGAATTGGGACGCTCAAGGCAAGGATGGGATCCAGATTCTTCCAGATGAGCGGCCCGCTTTCAAGTTCGGCAACAATGGCAAGCACACCTGCATGGCCACTGCAATGTTGCAGCTGCCAATCGCCAATACCTCGAGCCAGATGAAGATCCATCTTCATGATATTCCAGGACAACCAGTTCTTCTGAGTGTTCGCAGCCTCAGGGCGCTCGGGGCTATCATCGATTTTGAGAGAGATGAAGCCATATTTAAGCGCCTTGATCCTCAGAAGCTCGTGACCTTAGAGACCACCGAAGGTGGTCACCAACTTTTTCCGCTTGTCAAGGATGTGCTAGCAGGAGCAAAGGAGCTGCATCAACCTTTTACGACTTTGGAGAACATTTGCTCTGCTCGTGCATCCTGCGATCAAAAGGCCGAGTAGGGACAACACCTTCTGGTGGCCATTGGCGCCACCGACCACCAGAAGGACCATGAAAAGAACAATGCGCCAAGTTATGTGTACAGTTCGGATTCACTCTGCAAGTCATGTTGTGTGGTTCGTAATGTCCATGGGGGTATTCCTAGCTGCCAGAACCCAGAAACAGAGGGAAACCAGGGATCTAAACGCCAGCGTAGACAAGTGTTAGAGCATAAGGCCCGGGATGTTCTTGGTAACAACCCTAAGATCGATACCCTTAAACAGTTTCTGCGACAGGTCCCCTGGGATATCTATCAGCCTAGTCCTTCACATGATCGCAGCATTGTGGACAAAGCAGGTGAGGAACAGCCATCAGCATACGCCAGTTTTGGGATGTATGCGCGTGGAGGAATGTGGGGCCTGACAGTGATTACTCAGGAGTGTCCTTGGATGTGTAGGGTTCTGAACGCAGTTGTCCAGCATTATAGCCCTCACATGACGTGGACCTCATTGACGATTTCCCTCAACTCTCAAGCCGAACCCCACAAGGATAGGTTCAACCTGGTCGGGTCCCAGAACATCGTCATTCCCTTGGAAAAACCAAGTTCTGGAGGAGAAGTGTGGGTTGAAGCTGATCAGGCACAGACTCAAGCCCCCACATGTGAGCTTTCATGTGAGAATCAACTTCGAGTAGGAGAACTCAAACCCCTGAATGGGCCCATCCAGTTTGACCCTAAGAAACATCATGCCACCATGCCTTGGACTGGGAATCGTTTGGTGTTGATTGGTTATACTCATGGCTGTTTCCGGAAGCTCAGTAAAGGTCAGCTGCATGCCTTGAAAAGCCGAGGATTCCAGGTTCCATGGAAGCGCAATATAAGGCCTGCGCAGCTCAGGCTCTCAGCCCCAATAGGTGTTGGACAAGCTCTTTCGACTACAGACTTCGAGAAACATGCCCGGCAGCAGCAGCTCGATGTCCAAAAAGGAGATGCAGGAGCAGTTAGCTCGTCATGGCGAGACAGCACCCTCCGGCTGGACGAAGATCCAGCTCAAGTCCCGCTTGGTGGAGCTTGCGGCAGACCAGGCGGATGTGATGACCGAGCGGGAGGCATCCAAGATGATCAACCGCTGCAAGACCAAGGCCATGCTCCAGGAGAAGATGGACGAGTTCCAGCTGACCTACACGGCCAAGATGAACTCCGACCATCTCCGCAGTGCTCTACTCAGATACCTGATGGAGACTCAGGTTCCTCCGCACGAAGAGAACTTCATGGGCTTCGGGAAGCACAGTGGGTGGACATACGGCGAAACAGCCATTCATGCTCCCTCCTACAGTGCCTGGACAGTGGAGACAGCCACCAACGAACCGGAGTGCCACTGGCGATTGAAGCGGTACGCACTCTGGTACCAAGGACTTTCCCGAAGCGACAAGGTGCGGCTGGAGAGTGTGACGCCCGCCCCACAGAACAAGAAGGAGAAGGACATGCATCGAGGAGATCCCAGCAGCCGGGCGACCTCCTCTATTGGGGCAACCAGCAGTGTGATCGACTCGGAGACCGAGCTGGTTGCCGAGGTGTCACAGGAGGATCGCCTTCAGGAACTCGAGCTCGAGCTCAAGAAGATCCGCGAGGCCATGAGCAAAGCCAACACAGGCACAGTGATGGCAAAGAGCAAGGTGAACCCCAAGACAACCCCGTGAGCTCGGACACCGAGCCAAGTGACCTTCAAGATAGGGTAGATGGGGATCACATGCAGCCCGGTGTGCAGTGTCAACTTCCCTTTTCCGTGGCAAAGCAGATTGGAAGCAGCTATGAGCAAGCTATGGTAGCGAGTGTTCAGGAGTTGTGCAGTTCCAAGGTTGTGGTTTTGGAAGTTGGCGGTTGTGAGGATAGCGGTTTAGGGGCTGAATGTGAGAAGCTTTTTGGAAAGGGATCTTCCTTGTGGTTGTCTGATTGGAACGGTGGAGATCTCGAGAGCTTGAAAGGGCAAGAATATGTTTTACGCACTATTGAGGAGGTTCAACCCCAATGTGTGTGGTTTAGACCCGACACGAGTCCTTTTTCCCCTTTTCAGGTCATGAATCAGAAAACCCCCGAACAAGCCGAGAGACTCCAGGCCAAACAGGCAAAGGCCACTCTGCAGTATAAGGGTTTTGCAAACGTGATTCGGGCATCTGCAATGCTGGGGGTCACTTGCGTGCTGGAAATGTCTGACGTGTGTGATGTCTGGCAACAGTCATGGGTTCAAGAACTCCAGGAGTCCTTAGATTTCTATAGGGGTACTTGTCAGGGATGTCAGGTGAACCTTCGGAGTTTTCAGGGCGCTTTGGTGTGTCGGGGTTGGGGTCTGGTTAGCAATGACGGGGCTCTTGTTCAAAACATGTCTTTAGGTTGTGATGGAAAGCATGCCAGGCCAAAAGGACCGGAAAATCGTCAGACCTGCAAAAAGGGTTATACGCGTGAGTTCAGTAGGAGGGTTCTGCGATATTTGGAACGACAGAGCAGTTGGTTTGAGATGGCTCGGGATTTTCAGGGTCTGGGAAATGTGTGTCATGTTGCTGGGGAGGTGGATCAGCCTGAGGAGGGAGCTGAACCCAACGCGGGGATTGAAGATATCCCAGCCGACAAACGCCGGCAGATCTTTCAGCACCTCCGTAGGATCCACTCTGCGACGGGGCATTGTAGCAAGAAGTATCTTCGAGGCAGTCTTAAACGTCGAGGAGCCAGTAAAGAGGTGCTGAGATGTGTGGACCATTTCTCGTGTGATGTATGTGATGAGTTGTCTCGACCTGATCCCCGTAGTCAGGCCACACTGACCGAGATTCCCCCAAAGTGGCATACTCTACAATGTGATGCCTTTTCATGGAATCATCCTCAAAGCGGGGAAAAGTGGCAGTGCATGCTTGGCATCGACGAGGGCTGTCGTCTTCGAGTTGGACGGGTTCTATTCCAACATGCCAGTAGAACCCCCAGCGCTCAAGACTTTATAGGGTACTTTGAAGGAAACTGGATGCCTAGCTTCGGGAAGCCCCAAGTACTTAGGTTAGACCCCGCAGGATGCTTCCGGAGTAAGGCCCTGGACCAATATCTGGCAGAACGTCAGGTTGAGGTCCAGCACATTCCAGCCGAGGCCCATTGGCAGATTTCGTTGGCAGAACGCTCCATTCAGACCATGAAGCATATGATGACAGCCTTGGTGTCTGAGTTTCCACACATGAGCACAAGTGAAGCCTTTGCCAGATCTGTTTGGGCTAGTAACAACCGGGATCAATATCTTGGGTACTCCCCTTTACAGCATGCGTTTGGTAGGGCCCCCAATGAACTAGGACAGCTGGGAGAGAGCGTGATGCGAGATGTTCCGGTGCTGACTGAGAATGGTGTGTCCGCTGAGTTTGGAGTTGATGTCAAAGCCATGCTTGCCGCGGAAAAAGCTTTCCTAGAGGCACAGGCCAAGGAGAGGCTGCGGAGAGCCGAGTTGTCAGGCCGAAGGGGGATGCAGCAGTTCTGTCCGGGCGACCTTGTGTACGCATGGCGAAGAATGACGCCACGTTCCGATGGGAACCGCCACTTTAAGGGCGGACAGTTTGTTGGGCCGTACCGTGTGTTGGCAACTGAAACTCGGGTTGACGGGGCTGGGGAAATGAGGGCCAGTCATGTCATTTGGTTGTACCGAGGAGGCCAGTTAGTGAAGGCCTCACCACAACAACTTCGACCAGCCACCGCCAGAGAAGAATCCTGGAGCGAGCTCCAAGACCCGACACCAATTCCATGGACCATCACCGACACTTTGCGTAAGCAGCCACCTCATCAGTTTGAAGATGTGACCGCTGATGCTGAACACATGCCTCCAGTTGAGGACCTTGAAAGAGAAGAAGAAGAGAGAGAGCTCGAGAGGAGAGAAAGAACCCCAAGACGGAGGACTGGAAAACAACCACCTGAGACTCCAGTGCGAGCATCACATCCGACACCTTCACAAAGTTCCAAGCGGGGCCGGAGCTGGAGTGACCATAGAAGGGGTGAGGAAACGGAGGAGGTTCCNNTGCTGAGAGAACATCGCAGTCGCAGTAATCCGCTTCGCGGAGATGCCAGGAGTTCTGAGGACCCCCGGGGGACAGTGAGTTTCTTGGAGGGATGTGGGGTGGTTTTTCCTGAGGAGGGAAGCAAGTTTTGGGAGACAGATAGGCCTGCTGTGAGTTTCTCCATGGATCTTCCTCAAGTGCAAACCAAACAGGGTAAGGAATGGGTGAGGGACATGGGATGTTTCTTTGTGAAGCAGCTTCGCAGACAAACCGTGGAGATCTCCGAACGCCAACTCACAGCGCGTGAGTTAGAGGGTTTTCGTGCTGCAAAATCTAAGGAGGTGAAGAATTTTATTGTTGCTAAGGCTTTCCAGGCTTTGCCAAGTCACTTGAAGCCTAATCGCAGTCAGATTTTGAAGATGCGTTGGTTGTTGACATGGAAACTGGACGACAAAGCCGGTGACACTGAGCCTCTCAAGCGTGATGCCTCTGGTAATCCCCTAAAACCTAAAGCAAGAGCCATCGTTCTGGGCTACATGGACCCAGAGTACGAGTACCGTCCGACTAGTAGTCCGACGATGACGAGGTCGACGCGCCAGTTGTTCCTCCAGAATTGCGCGAACCACAACTTCAAGGTGGAGAAGGGGGACATCTCCGGAGCTTTTCTTCAAGGAGATGATTTTGGAGTGGAGCGTCCCATGGTGTGCGAGCCGTTGCCTGAAATTTGTGAAGCGCTAGGCGTGCCGACACACTCGCCTATGCTGCTCACTAAGGCGGCGTACGGTCTGGTAGAAGCACCGATCCAATGGTTTCTTTCCATTTCTAGGTTTCTGGAGAGCATAGGGGCCGAAAGACAGCTTTCTGATCCTTGCTGTTGGGGGTTCTTTAGAGCTGATAGAACCCCTATTGGCTGGGTTTGTGGACATGTGGATGATTTCATGTTTGGAGGTCGCTGTGATGATCCAGAGTGGATTGGAATCAAGAACCAGATACGATCTCGGTTTAAGTGGGGACAGTGGGAAAGCGGCCGCTTTCTGCAGTGTGGAGTGTTGATAGAACAACAAGAGTCATCATTCCTCCTCAGCCAGCCGGAGTACCTCGACTCCGTTAGCGAGATCCACATCAACAGGGCGCGCTGGAATGAGCCCGCAGCTCCAGTGACACCACATGAGTTGTATCAGCTCCGAAGCGTCTTGGGTGCTCTGTCATGGCATGCCAATCAGGTTGCTCCTCAATGGTCGGCAGCGGTTGGAATGCTGCTGTCAAAGACATGTAAGGGTAGTGTCCAGGAGATCATTGATGCCAATAAGCTTTTACGTAAGGCAAAGATGGGGCAGCATCAGAAGCTTCGGATACATGGCTTTGGTAGTGCTAAGCCGGTACTTGCAGCATGGGCAGACGCAGCAGACTCACATCGACCAGATGGAGGCTCGACAAAAGGTATCCTGGTGGGATGGACGGATCAGGCTCTGTTGGACGGCGACCTGACCAAGATCAGTCCCCTCTTTTGGCAGTCGGCGAAGATCCAGAGAACTTGCAGGAGTTCGGGGGCCGCAGAGACTCACGCAGCGATTGATGCTGAGGACGAGTTGTTTTCACTACGATTTCAAGTGTATGAGTTCCTTGGAGGACAGGTGTCAGTGTGGCGATGCAATGATGCGGTGATGGATGTTGATGGTGTTCTGATTAGCGATAGTACCAATCTGTATGACCGTCTTCATCAAACTGTTCTCACTCTAAAAGGGGCAGAGAAGCGTACTGACATTGAAAGTCTGTGTTTGAAGGAAAGCATGGAAGCCACCGGTTTAAAGGTCCGTTGGGTGAACGGGGATAGTCAGCTTGCAAACTCCTTGACGAAGGCCCAGGAACCTCATCAGCTCCTTGAGTTTTTCCGTAGAGGGGGATGCTGGCGAATTGTTCATGATCCTGAGTTAACCTCTGGTCGTAAGCGACGGCAGCTGGGGTTAGGGTCTCTCGAGACAAAGCAGAGTGGATCCTAGGACTTTTGAACGTCTCCAAAGTTTTAAAATTTTGGGGGCGTGCAACCTTCATAGCTTGGTGTGCACGAAATGCGTGTGATTCGTA